GCAAATCCAGGAGGAACTTCAGCATTTGTCCACTACACTTACACAGAGTATAACTACCCTTACCTCTAAAGTGGATCACTTGGCTACTACAGTTGAGGGGCTGCAAACTCAGATGATTTCTCTGGAAAATAAAATCAATGCTCATATGGACTCCTCATCCCAGGAAGTCAAAGCTACGGTGAAGGAACAGTGCTACAAGACCATTCTCAAGGAAATCAAAGATGTTCCTTTACCATGAAGCTCCTACCACTTCCACTCTCTGCCAAACATACCTACCCCACTGTCTCTTGTGATTTATGAACAATGTTCTTCTGTTCAGTTTTTCTTTTGTTAATTTTGGATTTTTTTTGGTTTGTTTTATAGATTTTGTTTTGATTCGGTTTGAAATCAATTGGCTTGATTTGTTTTTTAATTTGATATTCTCATTCTGGTTGCATATGAACTGTGTGCGCATGCTTAATCGTTCATGAATTCAGATTTACTACTCCCTCCGTAGTTTAGTACTATATATAGCATGCTCTTTCTATCATTTTGATAATGTCAAAAGGGGGAAGAGAAGAACAAACTCAGAAAGCTGGACTCAAACCGATTCCTCTTCAAGTCTTCATCGTTTAAGCAAAGGTATAAATCTCATAATTTATTAATTTGTAGAATGATGCAGACTTCTTAATACTTAGTTTATTTTTTTCTGTTTTGTTTATATAATTAGTTTACTGTTAATAGTTCCGAAATTTGCCTGGATGATTATTTTGTTTTAACCGAGTTTGTTTTTGTTTGTCATCATCAAAAAGGGGGAATATTGTTGAATTGACTACCTTATATTTTGATGATTGACTTACGTAAAACAAACTCCGACTAATGATGTTTAAAAGAGTCTTGGTTAAGCAGAAGATTCAGGTTTGAAGTAATATGTTCCGGAGTAGGAACAACAAAGTTTGGAAGACTTGATGATGAATGCAAGCTTTCAAGATGTCCTCATATCTCTATATACTTAGTTACTCAGTGTATGAACTTAAGAAACAAAAGTGTTGGAAGGAACTAAGAAGAAACATGAAGTTCCTGAAGGAACTTGACGATTGACGGATGACTCAGAAAAGTTTTTAACAGTTTTCAAAATCCTTAATTTAAGGAAGAGATAAAATCAGTTTGAAAATATTGGGATAAAATCAGTTGAAAAGATTTATTTTATAAATAAATAAAATCTAAATAATTCTTTAATTTAAAAGATAAATTTATTTTAAATTAATTAATTGTTTAAATATCTTTTTAATAAATAAATATTTATCTTTTTAATAAATGTTCTTTTAAACTGATTTTTGACTTGGTAAAATTCTGTTTGCTTAAAAACAGGATGCACGTTGGATTTGGGAGTCAAGTTAGTGAAATCATGGTTCTCAACTTCCTCCACTTACATCCCAACTTCCCAGTATAGGTGAACGTGGGATTGAGGGGGAAGTAGGAACATGATGGAAGCTTGGATAATCTCCCTATAAAAACAGATCAACGTTAAGTTTTGAAAGTGTGGAAAAACAATCTTAAGTATTCTGAGCATAGAGTTTCAAAGTGTTTAAAAGAGAAGTTCCTTCCATCCTTAGTCTCTTAAGTTCTTTAGAAAATACTTGTAATCATTGTGTAATTGGGTTTGGGTTGTGAGAGTTGTAAAGTGTGAGATTTGAGAGAGTTGTTTACACTGTACAAGTGATTCGGAGTAGAATCACAAAGTGTGAGAAACTGTGATTGAGGGATCACAGTTGGGTAACTTGAGTTCCTCACGGAACTTGAGTCTAGGCAACGTATTAGTGATTGTAAATCATTTTTACATAGTGAATTTATTCATTGCCTATCTCAGTGTCTTTTCTCTTAGTAGTAGATTTAATTCCGCAAAATTTACCATAGTCTACATACACTACAATTCACCCCCCCACCCTCTTGTAGTATACATTGTTCTATCAAAGCATAATATTGTTATCATAAAATGTTAATCAAATCCACATTTTGAGCATTAAAGGTAATACTCCGTAGTTGTTCAAGGCCATAATCATTTCTTAAAAGTTAAATCACTTTTCTCTTTTTTTTTTTTTTTTTTTTTTTTTTTTTTTTTTTGAGAAAGTTAAATCACTTTTATAAGTATTACGTACTGTATTATTTAAGAATTAAGAGGCATAAGTTCAACATTGGAATTAATGAATTATGATTAAAACTTTAATGTGAGGTTATGCGTTCACAGATTTCACACACTGGTGCCATAATTTTACAATTTTTTAGATTTATGTCAAATTTCATAAAATAATTACTCCTTCCGTTCTTAAAAGTTCAATATACTTTGTATTTACGCGATCTCCAATGAACATATTTGACCATGAATATTTTCGGCTATGTATAAGCGAAAATTATAAAAAATTGATATTTTGAAAATTTATAATAAGGGGAACCTAATAAGATCTAAAATGCTAATTTATATTTCTATTGTATAAATCATAAAATGTGGTCGTAGTTCTTTTATTTTGACCACATAAATAATAAGTGAGTCGAACTTTAAAAAATGGAGGCAGTATAATTATACACTTCCTCTGTTTTTTTATAGTTGCAACACTTTTCTTTTCATGCTTGCCGATGCATGATTTCAATCGTTAATATCTTTAAATACCAATATGTAAAAATTATAAACACTTGATATTAAAATAGTATAAACGAGACGAATCTAACAAATCCCACATGACTATATTTTTGCTTAGCTATAAATCATTAAAGCTAGTCAAAGTGAAATACATGAATAGTGTACAAGTAAAAAAAACGAAGGAAGTATTACACAATCAAATATACAATTATATACTCACTCTATTCCTTTTTATTCTTTACATTTAGTGTTATGCAAGCGAATTAACGAAGAATTAAAGTGGAAATTTTATCTTTTTCTAATCTAAATGTCAGATAATATAAACTCCTTGATTAGAGCGAATTCCATTGATCAATATTTATAGAGCTACGTCCTAATCATATTAGGTACCTAACAAGATATGTAAAGATATTATAAAGATATTCTTATACAATTATATCTTAAACCTAGGATGAGAATATTCTATGGATATTCTCAATCATACCCCCTCAGTCGAAGCGGGAGAAAATCGAATGCTCGGACTGGATCTGAATCACGATCTAATGGTAAGGATAATATGGTAACCCATGATCAAAGGAGAAGTAGTAGAAGTGTGCCGGTGATGACGATGAGAAGCAACAGCCACGACCTACGTAGAGTAGAGATAAGCGTTGCATGCTAGGCCAAAGGAGAAGGAGAAGAGCCGCGCACAGACTTGGGCCAAGTTGTAGATCCAGAGAAGAAGAAGATAAGGGATCAAACCATCATCGGAGAGAAGACACTACATTTTTACGGGAAATCACAGTTGAAGAAAACAAATAAGGGTGTTGTACTAATGCGTTTATGAGCCCTTGGATTGACAGTGTTGTTGTTGGACTGTTGTGGCGCGCCAAAGGGCTGCTGCACACGGGTAGAGAAAGGTCCATCTCTTGAAATAATTTTAGTGTTGTGTGGCCAAATAAGAGAACAATTAATAATGTCACGCAAATCCACAATAGACAAGACGGAAGTCTGCAAGGCTACGTTGGGAGATTGTGGAAATTATGGTACAACACTAAGTGGATTGTGTGATCCACATGTAAATTCTAAAAAAAAAACTTTGAGAAAGGAAAAAAAATAATCTATATTTGTGTGTTTGCAAAAGCATAAAAAATTGTGTATATCCCACCGGTGGGTTTAATTTTCTAACCCACCGGCAGGGTGAGAATTTTTGCATATGATTCCAAGATCTCACCTAAGCTCTGATACCATGTCAGATAATATAAACTCCTTGATTGGAGTGATTTCCATTGATCAATATTTATAGAGTTACAATGAGAATCCTAATCATATTAGGTAACTAACAAAATATGTAAAGATAACATAATGATATTCTTATAAAAATTATATCTTAAACCTAGGATGAGAATATTCTAGGGATATTTTCTATCACTAAAAATATTAAATTATTTTTGATGATTAATTTAATTAATTAAATGAGATTCTCGAAAGATGCAACAAAAATATAGGACGGAAATTAAAAAAAAAATCAAAGAATATATAATTAACGATTGTAACATATTTTTATGGAAAAATAAAGATAAATTGGAGTATTCGGAAAAAAAAAAAAAAATACACACTTCTACAAGGTCACAATATTGAGTTCCTTCAACACTTTCATAGAACATGCTTAATTACAGAGTACAATAAATTAATAAAATGCATACTATTTTCACCTAAATTATGTACAAGTAACTAAGTAAGAGCAACTTCAATGACAAGCTAATTGTCAAATTAGCTTGTCATGTCATATAAGCTTTTTAAGCTAATTATATTTCTAGCTAGTTTAAATCATAATGGTTAGCTACTAGCTTACTATTTAAATTATTAATTTATTGTTTTCATCTTAATTACTAATTTACTTTTACCATTTTTTTTTGACAAGTTTTTTTTTTTCAAAAAGCTAATTTGCTTGATCAAGTTAATTGCATATTTTAGCTCCAATGGTCAAACTAGTAGCTCGAAACTATTTATAATTGGAAGCAAATTCCTAGGTATAACCATTGGAGTTGCTCTAATTATACTACTATATAGTTTTTTATTTTTTAATGGAAATACTACTCTGCACTTCAAAGAGTTTTTTTTTTTTTTTTATTTAATCGACCAAATGAATTGTTTTTTTTTTTTTTTTTTAAATTTAAATTTTTTTTTTTTTGAAACAATAAGGTTGATTTATTTCCTTTTGGTAGGTAGAATAATTTCCTTAAAAAAAAAATCCTAATTTGTTCAATTTTTTTTTATGCCCTCCTCGTATAGACATCTCAATTTTCAAAGAAGCCACCCAACGGCTATATTTTCAAATACAATAATATGACCGTTAGAAAGAAGCACCTTGGCTCTCATCTTACAAAATAGGGCAATTCACAGTCGCAGTTTCTCCCATCTTCTTCTTCTTCACCCTTCTATAACAACAGAATAAAAAGAGGGGGAAACAGAGAAATTCAAATTAATCTGTTTCGTTTTTTTCCCTGATTTGATTTTGATCCCCTCTCTCTAACTTTTCTTCTTCCATTAAAATCCATGGCTTCCAGAGTAGTTCTTCCTCAAAATGGTACGTCTTTATCTCTCTTTTCATCCCCTTCTTTCAATTTCTGATTTTTCAATTTGATGTTGGTTTCGTTTATGTTGAATAAACCCAGAAGGATTTTAATGATTTCTGGGTAATTTTCTGTGATTTTTTTTTTATCTGGGTTTTTCTGATTCGTGTTGAAAGGATTCAATCGCCGCCTTTTGTATTTAGTATTTGAAATTTCATCATCTTAAAATCGTTTTGTGTTCGAAAAAATTTCTGGGTAATCTTCATCTTTTCATTTTTCTAAAATAATTTTTCTAGGTTCGTGGATTTTAAACGATTCGATCGTCAATTGTCTGTTGTTTAATTGAATGTTTGGGATCTGCAACTCGTTTAATGTCGAATTGATTTTCTGGGTTCCATTAATTTTTGCCCCAAAATTTAATCATCCTCTTAATTTTCTGGGTTTCATTATTTAATATTTTTCTTTTGATAAAATTCTTTATTATTTCACTAAAACTAATATCCAAGAATTTTTTTTGCAGTTGAAGGTAATAATAATGGCGGAATCAAGCAAAAGAACGCAGCAGAAGGACAGGGCAGAAACAGAAAAGCTTTGAATGATATTGGTAATCTTGTTACAATTCGAGATGTTGAAGGCAAACTACAAAGACCCATTACAAGGTTTTCCCCAAATCAATTGAAATTTTGTATTATTTTTACAAATTGAATTCGATTTTGTATATTTTAATTTCTAAACCTAAATTTATGCTACTTTGTTTACAGGAGTTTTGGGGCCAAATTACTTGCTAATGCACAGGCTGGTGGAGATAACAAGATCAAGAAGGTCTAATAATAACTTTTCATTAATTTTTGTGTGGGTGTTGAAAATTTTTATTGGAATGATATTGATATTGATTTTTGATGTTGTGCAGGCTGCCCCAGGAGTGGCAGGAAAGGCAGTGGTGGTGCCGGTGGTGCCAAAGCCACCGACTAAGAGGGCGGTCCCGACTACGAAACCGAAATCAGTGGAAGTGATTGAGATAAGCCCTGATACAGAAGATAAGAAACAGGAGAAACCAGAGAAATTGGTGACTCAGAATGAAAGATCAGTTGGTTATAAGAAGAAGAAGAAGGTTCCTAGTATGACTGCTCTACTTACTGCTAGGAGCAAGGTATATTTTTGAACTAATTTGCTGACATTTGAGACTTTGCTTTGAATGATATATTTGTTAAAATACTGTTACATTGGATTCTGAATAAGCTGTTTTTGGTGGGATTATAGGCTGCTTGTGGTCTGACTAACAAGCCAAAGGAACAAGTAGTTGACATTGATGCATCTGATGTTGATAATGAGTTAGCTGTGGTTGAATATGTTGAAGATATCTACACTTTCTATAAGATAGCAGAGGTATAATTTTATTAAAACCCGCTTTTAGAACTTTAGTTTAGTCATGGTTCTTGTTGGAAGTAGCAAGGGATTGATGAATTGCTCTTGTTTTTGGTGGTAGAATGAGAGTCGGCCTTGTGACTACATGAATTCGCAACCCGAAATCAACGAAAAAATGAGGGCTATCTTAGTTGATTGGTTGATTGAAGTGCACAACAGATTTGAGCTTATGCCTGAGACCCTTTATCTGACCATTAACTTGGTTGATCGGTTTCTTTCGTCGAAATCTGTCCCAAGGAGAGAATTGCAGCTTCTGGGTATTGGTGCTATGTTGATTGCCTGCAAGTATGAGGAAATCTGGGCTCCTGAGGTACTTACTGCAGAAATTATGTACTGTGCTGTTTATAGTTTTGAAACCCTGGATTAATTCTTGTAAATGTTTCAGGTTAATGACTTTGTGAGCATATCAGAAAGGGCATACAGCAATGAACAAATTCTGAAAATGGAGAAGGCCATACTAGGCCAGCTAGAGTGGTACATAACTGTTCCTACCCCATATGTTTTCCTTTCGCGATACATCAAGGCCTCGATTCCTGATGGTGAAGTGAGTATCTATCTCAGAACAAATGCTTGTATCTGTCCATTTTCTGGTAGAAATGTTCTGCTTAATCTGACCTGTTTATGCTTATGGCAGATGGAGAACTTGGTCTACTTCCTATCTGAGCTTGCTCTGATGCACTATGGCTCCATCTCCTTTTGCCCATCCATGGTTGCTGCCTCGGCTGTCTATGTTGCTCGGCTTACCTTGTTCAAGGCACCTGGTTGGACCGAGACCCTCAGAACTCACACCGGGTTTTCAGAGTCACAACTCATGTAATTCCCTTGACATGTATAACTTATATATGCTCATATAACTGTGACTATATCATATCGATTGATGATTGACTCGAATTTTCGCGGTATTGTTGGGATTTTCAGGGATTGTGCAAAGATGCTGGCAAACCTGCACTCAGTAGCCCCAGGACACAAACTGCAGACTGTGTACAAGAAATACTCAAAGCCTGAGAAATGTGCTGTGGCTATGTGCTCACCACCCATGTCTCTCTTGGTTCTGTCCTCATCATAGCTTGGTGATGATCGGTTATGATTCTTTAGATTAACTTTTGTCATTGCTGATGACAGCATAGAAAACTTATCTAGTGTGATTTCTCTCTTATGTTGATGAAAATTATACAACTCATCAATATACGGAGTATAATGTATTGTCTAATAGTTGAGCAGTTTTTGATCACCTTAATTTTTGGAGTTTGCTCTCAATGGTAAAAGTTATAAAAAAAATTAGACAAATTAAACATGATGTAACAACAGCTTAATTACAATCTGGTTTCAATATTAAAAAAAAGTTAGGCAAATTAGAATCATGGAGCATTTTGCCTTCTATATTTCAAGTCTTTACTTTTTCAATTTGTTGAGAGCTTGGATATTAAACTGTGGGCTTATCTTAGAATGTGCTCCTTGTCTGAATGTTCAAGAGCCAAAACCAGAAATGTGCCTCATTGAAAAAGATTGTACATCCTACTCCCTCTATATAAATATAGAACTTTATCAAAACTAATTTTGCCGGCATAAAATTGACATAAAATTGTACACACGGCCTCATCTTCATCAAAACGAATTTTTCACGTGTACATATTAGATAAATTAATATGGGCTCTGTGCAGTTGCACAGACTTTTTAATAGATAAGAGACGACATTGAATATTAACTTAAATTGAATGCTTGTACTTTTACAATTTCAATTAGGTACTTCAAATTTACCTTTTTTTTTTTTTTTAGTTAATACCTTGGCAAGTTGACATAATATTCATGTTAATCTCTTTCAGGAGTAAGTTATGAATTATGTGCGACATTCCTTCACCAAAATTGTTAACACACTTGAGGTACCAAATTAACAAATCCTAGTTAGAAAATCATGTTGGGAAATTTTCTACATGAGAAAAGGAACTAAAATAGTAACATGAAAAATAGAACTAGTTTGAAAGCAGAGTCCTTATCAATAAGTCTAATCAATGAGGCAATAGTGGTAGTATTCTTGAGGCCACTATCAACAACTAAATTTATAAGCTTAATTTTCTACAAGTATACTTTTGTTATTATGATAATACTCTCTCCATGTGTGAGCATATTGCATAGAGATTTAAGGTTTAATAATTATTGAGAAGTGATGTTGATTGTACAAGGTTTAATGTACTACATGTAATATAGTTGCAAAACGAATTGTGCATTCTTCCTTTTTGAAGAAATATGCAAAACAATAAGCACTATTCTTTTTTGCTGCAAACGAGGAGTTAGGCCCCGAGGAAAAAATAAATTAAAAAGTTAAAGCGGAATCATATTTGAAATAGCCACTCCAACAACATTATCATACAAAATACGGCACAACGGTAGTGGGGAGACTTGAATCAACTCGATCTTGTTGTTCTGGATTACGCCTTGATTTGCTAGCCAATTGCTTTATTCAAACTATTGCCGATTACGCCTTGATTTTTTTTTTTTTTAAACAATCTTATATATTCTTCTAAAATTAAGGATTCATAAGAGAATGTGTTCCTCAATATAAGGATTATTATTAGTCTTGACTAAAGTCTTATAAAGGATTTTAGGTCTTATTGTATTCAACTAATCAAAATAGGAATCACTTAACGAAACTAATTACTTACTTATTCTCGAAAGTCAAAACCAAAAGAACGAAAAATTTATCCCTAATATATGATACTCTACAATAGTGATTATGATGAAATTTTAGAACAAATTTATTTACATTGACTCAAACCCGAAGGCCAAAACTACATAACCCGAACGACTCCCTTTTTTTTTATTGATAAAAATGCACTTTAATTAATAATTCCAATTATTGCCGATTTACTTCTAATAATTCCTACTTTTAATAATCCTAACTATGCCCTGACTTTGCCTCCAATAGTCCCAACCGGTCAACACCAAATCAACGACTTGTTGTAATAGGTAACCAATACACGTGTCAACACGTGATTGGTTTATAATTTAAAAAAAAAGCTAAGGAAAAAAATATATATAATAAAAACAACTAAAACCCTAACAACCACCACCCCCTCCCCTCCTGCCACTTCAAAACGCCACGGCCAACCCCTATCTCGTCCTCGTCGGCAAACGGCCGACCGTCTCCTCTATCCCAAGAACACGGTCGGCCGACCACTCCTAACCCCTAAAACCACCTTAGCCGGCCATTTTCGAGGGGTTAGGGAGGTGGGCGGCCGGTTTTCACGGTGGGGGTTGGCTAGGATTTCACGGTGGAGGTGGCTGAGATTGTTTTCTAATTTTTTTAATTTTTTTTTTATATTAGGCCAATCATGTGCTGACATGGGGCATTTAAAAAAGAAAAAAAATTACCATTTCAGCAGGTATCCGGTTTTTGGGACTATTGGAGGAAAAATCTAAAATTATTAAAAAAATAAACCTTAAAAAATATACCTTAGTTGAAATTATTAAAAGTAAGGGAAATTATCAATGATACCCCCCAGGTTCGGGCTTTTCTCAATGATACACTTCATTAAACTTTCATTATCACCGGTACACCTAAACTTTTCCCTAAATACCTACCGTACCCTTTTCGTTAAAAAAACGTTAATTATGGTCGAAACCAATGAAACTGACCTTCCCTGCTAATCCCTTGTTCCACCATTCACACCAATATGCCTCCCCTGCTCCTCTCAATTACCCACGCCGCACCACTTCACGCCCCCACCTAAACTTTTCCCTAAATACCTACCGTACCCTTTTCGTTAAAAAAACGTTAATTATGGTCGAAACCAATGAAACTGACCTTCCCTGCTAATCCCTTGTTCCACCATTCACACCAATATGCCTCCCCTGCTCCTCTCAATTACCCACGCCGCACCACTTCACGCCCCCACAGCGGCACCACCATTTCAACCACCATCCACCAAACACAACCAGCAGCTTGCCACCTCACCGCATCATCAGCCCCAACTCCCACGCATTCCCACACCCAGACCACCTCCAATCACCACCGCAACAACTACAACAGCAACAACCACGCATCCCTTGCATCAACCTCAATTAATTACTGCCCAGAGCAGCGCCTCTAGCTTCGCAATTCCCCACTGCAACCGCTACCACCATCTCCAACCACCATCAACATCAATTAGAGAGAGATAGAAAGTGAGAAAAATCATTGAAAGATGGAAGATTTGGATGATTATTCCAGAGAGAAATCAGCACTAACCTCCCCCATTAATCCAAACCCACTCCCCCTAAATATCGATCTTGCTGACCAACCCCATCCCCCGATTCCGACGTCGCTGACCTCCCCCATCCTCCGATTCAAGCCGCGTCGAACTCCCTGCCCCGATTTCACGTCGAACCCAATGTCGGGTTTGTTTTGGTGGGTTTTCGAATGGTTTTGAGGTTGGCCGGGTTTGGGTTAATGGGGTTTTGTGGTTGGGTTGGCTGGTGGTTTCGAGTTTGGTGGGTAAGTTTTGGGTGGTGGTGGGGATGGTGGTGGATGAATTGGTGTGGCGGTGGTGGTTGAAGTGGATTCGGGGTAGGGTCGTGGTTTGGGGGTCGAGTTATATGTTGGTTGTTAAGTTGTGGGGGTTTTGAGGTTTGTGGTGGTGGTGGTGATGGTGATGGTGTTGGGGGTGGCGCCATAGTGTTGTTGGCCTAGGTGGTGGAAGGGGTTGGAGGAAGGTCCTAAAAGGGAGATGAGGGAGATATAAGGTTTTTCTTTTAAAAAAAATAAGTTAAAAATAGTTAATTAATTTTTTTAAGTTAAAAAAATTGAAAAAAAGCCAAAACTAACGTTTTTTTAACGGAAAGGGTACGGTAGGTATTTAGGGAATAGTTTAGGTGTACCGGTGATAATGAAAATTTAATGAAGTGTATCATTGAGAAAAGCCCGAACCTAGGGGTATCATTGATAATTTCCCTAAAAGTAAATCGACAATAAATGAAATTATTAAAGTATATATTTTTTTTCACGCACGCTTCGAACCCTGAGTCCCTGACTCCTTGAAGGTTAAGTTCAAAAACCCTAGGGATGTCAGTGGGGCGGGTCTAGTAGGAGACCCGCCCCATCCTCGCCCCGATGGGGCCGGGATGGATCTAGCTTTGGCGGGTCGCGGGGCGGGAATGAGTCTAAAATACATACCCGCCATGGGTGATGTGGCAGGGGTGGTTTTTATGTAATATCAACCCCGCCCAGACCCGCCCCGCCTCGCCTGACCCACCTCGTACCCGCCTCGCCCCGCCTGACCCACCCCATACTCAACCCATACCTGCTTTATACCCACCCCATACCCGCGTAAGACCCGACCCATAGCATACAGGTGATAATAATGTGATAAAAAAAAAAATAATATTACTACACCTAATGTCCTTATGAAATCTCTAGAAGACTAGAACCCAGTAACCCACTTACCCACCCTCATCTTAGGAGTAAGGTCCTTAGTATGAGCCTTGGTTGCATGGACTTGAATACTTGAGCTTTGCTGGACTATGAAAAAACTTTTTGTAATTGAGTAAAACTTCAAATGGTTTTTTTTTTTTTTTTTTTTTTTTTAAATGTTTGGGCTCACCAATTACTATAACGAGTTTGAGATGAGCAATGGCCCAATTTGACAAGCACATTTTGAGCTAGAGGTTATCAAACTTGGCGAGTATAGATCACGTTGTGTTGAGCACAGTTCAACTACGAACTACTCTCACTCAGCAAGAATCAAAAGCTGTCTGGTTACTCTGTCAGGTACATTGTGATAAGTAATGATATGAGTTTATGCATTGATAGGCCTTTCAACATGATATCTTCTGATAGCTGTGCTAGAAGCATGATCTGCCTGTGCTGCTGTGCATTGCTATTATTATTGCTGTTTCTGAGATGTCAAATGTGTTCAATACTGCAGTCAATATGTATGGTTTTGCAATTGAATTGCTGATTAGTGTTCAGATTAAGTTGAAGGGGGGTAGTGTGGTGGTGGTAGTCAGGTTCTTACTTATTAAGGAGGGATAGTTAAGGGTGAGTGGATACTTAATGGTTACCTAAGTTTGCTAAGACTTTCTTACTTGTACCTGAAGTTGAATCCTACCTCCCTTGATTGTGTGACTGTTGCAATTGTTGATAAATGGGACTTTTACAGTACCAAGGATAATCCTCGGATAAAATTGGTACAATAATTACTAACCACCTGTGTTGAAACTTGAAAGAGCCTAAGAGATTCAGTTTAGAAATCAGTATTTGATATTGCCTATAAAACAAAAATCAGCTTAACAGCAGAATTTTCATTTACATAATATACTATATCATGTCAATTTCACATAACCTCATTAATACTACCTCTGTTCCTATTTAAATCAGATTGTTTTGTGAGTCACAAAGTCCAACGTGGACATGTTGATGAAAAGAATACTTGTATACGGATCCAACTATAATAAGGGTACACAGGAAGTAATACATTTGTCTAAATAATTTAAACTTGGAAAGGCACCGGGTTTCTTTTAGGCCATGACTCGATTTTCTGGAAATATTTAACAGGGACAACGCCATCAAAGCCTTCTGTCAGTATTACCCCATTTTCAGACTTGTAAAACTTCATTCCATCTGCCAAGGTAAGACATGGTGAAAAAAATTGCATCAGATTTGGTCAGGGGGAGGGGGGGTCTATGTTGTCACTAAAAATTACTTTCGACAAGCTATGAGCAGCAGAGTTATAGATATAAAATACAGAAACCTGGAGGTGTACCTTCCATTGCTTTCGTTGTGTCTATGAAGATTATCATGTTAACATCACGCCTAAAACCTGGAAAAATGGCCCAAAACACATCATTGTAGATTCATAGGAATTTTTAACATATCACCGTTGATCACATTAGTAACTATGTTATCAATTTACAGAATTTGTCATGTACAATATAATAATATATAAATAACAATACTGCTCACAGTGTGGTGAGAGAATTATGAGAAATAAATTAGTAAAAGAAACATGCAGAAGATTGCAAATCTTAATGGTCCACAGGAAATCACAAAAGACTAAAAAACTGATCAGGAAAACTCTCCATATACAGTTTACATACCACTTTTTACTTCTCCATCTGATGGTAAGCCACATGCAAAGTGAATGTGCAACCTGCTCATTCGCTTGAGACCAGATGCAAGAATAGATTGAAGAAGCCTCTTATATGTACCATGAACACAAACTACATATGAAAGAAATTTCTAAGAGTTATCTTCTAAACAGAGTAATTTGCCAGCAAGCAATATGGAGATCTGAGTCCTTAAGCGCAGAGCATACCAGGGACCTCTTCAGCAGAAAGGATCGGCTTCAATAAACTCTCACTCTCTACAGACTGAATAGCCAAAGAGAGAAATAACAGTGAAGCAGATGTTACGGAAAAGAGTTCAACAAGAAACATCTATTGTTTTTAGAAAGAAAATAAAACAACAAAGCACTAGGTGGATTTTCCCCAAGCTCCAAAGACTACTCCCTAAAAACCTCACATGGAATTGAAAAGCCAAGGGTCATGGCCATATTGCTTTTGCCAATGCCCATGGGTAAAAAAGCTTCAAACAAGTTCGGATGGCGATACCTGAAAACCTAATTTTTTAAAATTTGCCTCTACGTTCCCATAAAATACATAGCAAATAACCAAAGGGCCATTTTGCACACAAATTTTAGCCTCAATCCCCCTATTCAAAAAATTAAAAAAAAAAAAGAAAAAAAATAAAAAATCAAAATCAAACCCGATTCATCATATTCTCCCCTCTCCCCAAACACCAAGTATTTCCAATCATTCCATTCCCCTTTATTGCTATATATACTCATGGACTGGGCCAAATGTTCTCAACTTTAACATACTACCTTCCCCATTCTTATGCCCACAAGTGCAACACACTATATTCCTCACTCCATATGCCAATTTATTTCCCAGTGAAAATGCCCCAATCATCTGCTGACCTTAAGTCACAGTAAAGCTGATGGCATTTTAACCACCATAATAACCAGAAAGGACACAATAACAGCATATTTAAAAGTGTATATGAATACCTGTCAGCTAACCACAACAATGGTGAGCCGTAAATGGTTAAATTTGACCAGCAAGACTCCAGATTAAGATCCTTCATGGTCAGTTCTACTACCAAAGCGCCCTGGGAGCTGAACTAATGAGACAGGGAGCTAGTAGGAAACTTGTGCACTACAAGCTATAAATAATTAGATTTGACCAGCAAGGCTCCAGATTAAGAGCTTCATGGTCAATTCTACTACCAAAGGAGCACTTGGGAACTGAACTAATGAGACAGAGAGTTAGTAGGAAGCTCATGCACTACCAAGGACATCAATTCTAAACAGCACGATGAGGATAGAATTGTTAGCGGAGGGGACTGTAGGGTGGGAAAGGTAGGAGACCTAGGAGTGAGTTGACCAGCAGATGGAGGCTGTTACGGGTGAAGGGATATTGAGAGGGAACAAGAAAAAAAAGGTTGACAACAAGATAAAGATGAAGTTGTCGGTGATAGGTACAACAGAAGACACCATAATGAGGGTGCTGAGAAAGGGACACTTGCCTTGAGGGATTAAGGAGATTTTATTCCTGACCACATCACCGACAAAAAAAAAAAAAAAAAGCATACAATTGCCCTTCCTAAACAAACATATTCCGTAAATTAGGGGTTTCCTTTCCTTTTCCCTTCTTTAACTGTCTCTCCTATTTTAACCAAACAAAGCCATACTAGGAATAAACAATATGTAGCACGGCAATGCAAAAAAGATTGTTACTTCCATTTTGAATTCACGAAATAATTATTCATTTCCACCTATAATTGTATATTTTCCACTTTAAATTAAAAAGATCCTCCATTATTTCCAAGATGAATCAAGTCTATTTTAATTAGCTTATGAACTGAAGAACTAAAGTAGAATCCAACAATCTAGGTCATCTCCATTAATCCAGGAAACGAAACTTGACTCATGGAGCAGTTCTTGACAATTTTTTTCTAGACTAATACACAATAATACTACTGCAAAAATAGTTAACCTTTACAGTATGACCTTGGTTTGCACGTATCCACAGTTCTCCATCCTTTTCCAAAAGGCCAAGCCTCTGCTTATTGTCTATCCTTACAGCCTGAAAAATATGCACATCAGTGTCAAAGTGTATTGAGAACAAAAGAACTAAAAGAATCAATGCCAAAGACATAAGTATGAGCTATTATAAGAATATAATAAAATAAAGCCTTGAATTTATTTGCATGTTTTTACAGAGCCAAGAAAATAAAAGCCCCAAATTACTTCTATGCTTAGATTCTAAAATAGAACCTACTCAAATAGCTTGTTGGGTTTCAAATTGGCAAAGTTTTTGGTAAATTGTACTCCGTAATACATATGTACTTGTATCAAATTTGGATAAAAAAAAAGAAAGTAGTCTAATAAAAGGAAATACAATGTCTAAAACTGTATCATATTATAGCTATTGTTTGTCTTTTTTTTCTTTTGGAAAAGCAATGAGTTAATTTCATTACTTGATCGAAAAGGGGAGGGGAGAGATTGGAAATACTTGGGGTTTGGGGGAGAGGGGGAGGGAGAGAGATTGAATATACGAAGTATAATGAAAAAAGTTGATCTTTCAAGGTCTTTTCACATCAGCAGAATTTATAGAAATGAATACATAAGACTTCTGGTCATAAATAAGTGGTAGGAAGGCACACAAATTGAAGGGGAAAGATTCAAGGACACTTGTTAAAGATAAACTAGAAAAATATGTCTATGATGGTTGATCATATGAAATGCTCAATGAAAAAAAGTGGGAATGAATAAAATTGTGAATTGTGCCTAAGGATTAAATGAAATATGGAAACACAGCAGAACTATAATCCAATCATAAAATTTGTATCAACTATCAACTTATTTTACACGATTGGGTGATCATCAATGCGTGAGAAAAAAAGCAATGGGACTTACTTCTCTAATTTCATCAATAGAATGTGAGCTTAATGGGATATTTGACCTTGTTTTCATGTTCAGCTTTAATAAATCTTGAAGCTTGACATATCCATCACTACGCATGTCCAAATTCAGCTCCGTCGCATTATGTCTCAATATACGTACCCTAATAAACACAAAATGCTTGATTATGTTTCCAAATCCAATACAAAAACAACAAAATGTTAACAGTCTTGAGCCTCATGAAAAAGGGTTGCAATGTTTATAAGGAAAAAAGAGTCTTCATAACGCAAAGGAAATAATGTATAAACAAAAAAGGTTGTGTAGTACTTACAACAGTCTACCAAGAGTATCAATTCTATCTGAAGTACCAGTAGGAGCACCACGACCACGACCACGGCCTCTTGATCCACCACGATTGCTTCTCGTGTCTCCATGCTTTCTTCCTCCAGCTAAACTGCAGATTACAAAACACAATAACACAAAATTTAAAATAAGAATTTTTAGACCTATAAAAATGATCTGAATTATTAATAAAAAATCTTTATCGATACAATAATTGGTTCTCAATTCCTAATATACAAATCGATTAATAATCAATTAATCACTGGGTACATGACTTAAACTAACAAAAGTAAATGTAATTCAAATCATTGTTCTACTTAGCTTATTTATCAATCAACTTCAAACATAAACATAGAGGATAAAGAGATAAACCTCGGTAAAGAGGAGAAGGAAAAGCTACTGCTTTCCCTGCCTCCATCCATTGTAAGGAGAGAGAATTGTCGCGGAGGAAGAAGACGAAGATAAATTGGGTAATTGATAGCCTTTGATGCTATTGTTACCGGCAATCTTCGGAGCATTAATGTTCCTATAGAAGGGAGTCATCGGTTAAGAATTAAGACCATACATTCAAACTACATAGAAGTCATAGTATAACACAGTACTAATTCAACATTAGCATTACTAGCTGAAGTGGGAACACTAGCATTATTCTCATTCTTTGATGTCATTCTCCCCTATAAAAATTAAATGAAGACAATTAATGCACTAGACATGAACAAATCAGTGAACATAGAAAACCAAACATATGAAAGTGATAATAATACAAAAACACCAGTAGCTAGAAGAAATTAAAATCACATCAATGCATTTGTCATTTCACTTCAAAGTGTAAAGCTAAAATGAATTAATGGATCAACAACAGTTACATCTCTTAAAGTCGAATAAGATTACAAGAATATATATATTACAGCCAACAACACTGCATCAAATCCTTGGTACTGTAAAAGTCCCATTTATCAACAATTGCAACAGTCACACAATCAAGGGAGGTAGGATTCAACTTCAGGAACAAGTAAGATATTCTTAGCAAACTTATGTAACCATTAAGTATCCACTCACCCTTAACTATCCCTCCTTAATAAGTAAGAACCTGACTACTACCACCACCACACTACCCCCCTTCAACTTAATCTGAACACTAATCAGCAATTCAATTGCAAAACCATACATATTGACTGCAGTATTGAACACATTTGACATCTCAGAAACAGCAATAATAATAGCAATGCACAGCAGCACAGGCAGATCATGCTTCTAGCACAGCTATCAGAAGATATCATGTTGAAAGGCCTATCAATGCATAAACTCATATCATTACTTATCACAATGTACCCGACAGAGTAACCAGACAGCTTCTGATTCTTGCTGAGTGAGTAGTTCGTAGTTGAACTGTGCTCAACACAACGTGATCTATACTCGCCAAGTTCGATAACCTCTAGCTCAAAACGTGCTTGTCAAATTGGGCCATTGCTCGTCTCAAACTTGTTATAGTAATTGGTGAGCCCAAACATAAAAAAAAAAATAATAAATAAAAAAAAATCATGAATTCAAAGATAAGGGAAAGGGGCCTCTCCTAACAATCTGTAGAGCACTAGGAACATAGTGAGGATCCCAAACATAGTGAGGATCTTAACTATTACAGCCAGCACACCTTCAACTTTTCCAAACAACTCAAGACAATCTTCAAACAGGAAAGTGATATCACAACAAAGCCTATTGTCACTTGTTGCAAGTCTATTTATCAAGACCTATTCAAATTCATGTCTCACTCTTTATTCCTCTTACTACTCCTCCAGTACTTCGTTGTCTTATTTATTTCTTCCTATTAATCCTCCAGTGCATTATTTGTTTTTTTTTTTTTTTTATATCATCATCTATCACATTTTCACATAGCAAAGTCCTAGAATTAAAATTATGATTCAATCCAACTGTATTCGCATAAGTGCATAACAAAAAATTATGATTCAATCCAACTGTATTCGCATAACAAAAAAAATTTCACATAACAAAAAATTATGATTCAATCCAACTGTATTTGCATACCAAAGAATTAAAATTTTCACATAACAAAAAATGACACCAGGAGAAAAATAAACGGAACTCCAACTGTATTCGATTTTAATCAAGGAACAAATGGGTTACATATCTACAAAAAAGGACAAATACCAGAAAATTCAAAGATAATAATGCGAAAACGTTTACCTAAATTGAATGAGTTGCAGGATCGAATGAAACTCGCAAATAGAATTGAAGAATTGCAGATCGGAGCGTTGAGAGGAGAGATTTGATAGGAGCGGCGAGATTAACTTAATCTAGAAACGGAATATAACCGAAGTACCATCATCAATTGTAAAAAAACAGGGAAACAAAGTTGATACAATTGAATTCAATTAGATCAAACAAAAACGTAAAATTTTATCAAATAAATTGACGAGAAATATACCCATTTAGTCGAAACTGATCCGATTGCACATGAGGTTGAAGAAGAAGGATCGAAGAGAGGGGTGTGAGGAAGTAGATTCAGCGCTTGAGAGGAGAGAGGTGAGAGGAGAGACGACTGAGAGAGTAGGCTAGTGTTTTTGTTTTGAGAATGAGGGTGGTAAGTGGGTTACTGGGTTCTAGTCTTCTAGAGATTTCATTAGGACATTAGGTGTAGTAATATTTTTTTTTTTTATAGCATTATTATCACCTGTATGCTATGGGTCGGGTCTTACGCGGGTATGAGGTGGGTATAAAGCGGGTATGGGTCGGAAATGGGGTGGGTCAGGCGGGGCTGGGCGGGTACGGGGTGGATCAGGCGGGGTGGGGCGGGGCGAGTATTACATAAAAAACCACCCCCGCCTCATCACCCATGGCAGGTATGGATTTTAGACCCATCCCCACCCCGCGACCAGCCAAAGCTAGACCCATCCCCGCCCCGATGGCGGATCTCCTACTAGACCCGCCCCACTGACATCCCTAGGGGTGGTTATTGTGCGGGTCGTTAGCGGGGCGGGTCGGTTGCGGGCCATGATGGATATTTAACGGGTCAGTGTCGGGTCATGGTCGAGGTTAAAGCGAAACGGGCCAATATTAAAGCGGCAACAATCAACAAAACAGCCGATACAATTCGCAGAAATTGAACATCAATAATTCAAACCGAAGTAAATTCAGAAAAATCGATAATCAACCTTAATTCTTCAGCAATAATATTAACAATCTCCCGCTTGCAAATCTTGTTATAATACTGATCAATCCGAATAAGAAAGAAAGCAGCAACAATCAAATAATCAGCCGATATACTTCGAAATCACTATAGAATCTAATAATTGAAGGTAATTTGAAATTTTAAATGAAACATGTTTAAACAAAATTGATTTTAAATCGTGAAGAACATTGAATTATCAAGTAGAACAACAAAATTGAATTATCAAGTAGAACAACAAATACAAAGGAACCATTGCACCAAACTAACTTTCAACAACTGAAATTTCCTCTCATTGTAGTACCAATATTATCCAGAAAAATATAATATCCTCACGCAATTATATTTGTAATATTTCCAAATGAAGAGAATATCAAAACAAGGAATTAATTGCTTCTGAAATTCAAAAAGTGGGGAAGAGAAATATATTTGAGACCTAAAATTGAATTGGGGTAGAAAGAATGGAAGAGAGATGAAATGCAGAAATCCAATTGAAAATTGAAGAAAAAGAAACAGAAATAACGCTTTAGATCGTTGGGAAAGAGAAATAACACTTCGAAAGGAGGAATTTAATGTATAAATAAACCTGCAAATTGGAAGGGAATGAAGCGTCGTGCCGAATACCTGAGAAGCTGAGAAAGTGGCTTCAATGGAGAACTCTGAGTGCGCTTCAATGGAGAACTCTAAGAAGCGGCTTCAATGGAGAACTCTGAGTGCGCTTCAATGGAGGAGAGAGAAAGGTGGGCGGAAGAACAGAGGAGAAGAGAGAGAAAATGGAAGTGAGGGCAGTGGCTGACCCTTACCATTATTATTGGACTTTTTAGTTTAATTATTAAATTATTGAGCTATAAAATAAAATCATATAAAAACCCTATAAAATAAAACCTTATAAAAACCCTGTCCATAAAATAATTTAAGGGTCAAAACCCTTTAGTATTAGGCCCGACTTTTTTGCCATTGGGTAGCCCTACCCAATAACCAGGCCTAGACATCCCTGAAAAACCCTTCCCTCATTCCTGCCCTTTCTCCTTCTTGTATACTCACAGTCTCCAGTAGTAAAACCAACCCTTCGATACACAATTTGCACACTTTCATATTGACAAAATGTCTTCAAAATCAAAGAAAAAATCATCAAAAACTCCATTATCAAAGCTTCAATCATCACAACAAGAAAACCCACCTTCTTCACCTTCTTCTCATTCTTCTTCCTCCTTTTTCTCTGAAATTGACCTCCAAAATACCCTCCAAGAAGCTTCCAGAAAGTTCCCTTCTTTCATCACTCAATCTTCTCTTATTGCCCAATTATCCGAGTTCGATTCCTCCCCCCACCAAAAGGGCTGCAAAATTTGGCTTTCTGAATCTTCTATGCTTGCTTCTTCCATCTCCCCTGCCTCCCTTGTTTCGGTATTTCTTCTACTATTTCTAATTTTTGTAATTATTTCTTGTTCTAATTAGTAGTATGATTGTATTTACTTGCTCAGATTTTTACTATTATATGACAGATTGTTCTTGTGAAATTGCATTATAAGAGATAATTTGTGTTTTATAGTCCTGTAATATTGTGGGTTGGTTTATTTTGATTGAATTATATGTTAATTGCCCTAGCTTTCGTGGTTTCTGATTATAAATACGTCTTGTTTACTTAAAATTGCAAGTTTGATGATCAAATTTGAAGGAAATAGAGGACTTATTTAGTATAATTATATCATGTTTTGTATTTATTTCAACATTTAGTGATTTATGTATGAGATGAGGTATTATTGTTAAATGCACTTGAAAGCTTATTGTGGGTATTTGTTGTTATTGTAATTGTCATTTTAATGTGGGTTGCTCTTATGCACTAGTTGTGTGTTTTGGAGGGTAATTAGTTTGTTGATAATTGTAATATTAGTATACTATTGTGTATTTTTGTGTATATAATTTGCAGATTTTGCGTAATGTGGCAGGTATCACTCGCTTCGATAGATGGATATTCGAACAGTAGTTTTCCTTTAAGTTCATTATCTGCAGAATGCAGTGAACAATTTGGACTTCATTGGGATGGGAAGTTGGATAACAAAGCAGGAAACTATTTTGCCCTTGCAACAGCATTTCCTTCTAGTAAGGTCTAAGTGAAAAAATTTACTCCTTTTGAATTTTGGTTTATTGAGTTTTGTGGAATTTAACTGGAAAAAGGATTGGAGTTTAAAAAAAAATCACTTCTTATCAGAGTTAAATTGTATGCTGAGAAACCCAAATTTTGGGTATTATTGTTCTATAGCACAAGCTAATCAATATATTGCTGAAAGATTTTTTAGCTGGTTCGCTCACCTTTTTTTATCTGGAAAAAAACATTGAAGGCCTTTATTTGTAAATCAAGGAACATAACATGGTGCACATAAGACTAGCCATTATTTTAAGGATTTTTTTGAATTGTTTGGAGTGGGGGGATTTGGGGGGGAGGGGGGGGGAGGTTTGAAATCCTTGACAAGTGGATATATAATTTTACCATGTATTAGATCTATGTTGAGAACCCAATTCAACATGTACTTTGAATTCGAAAACCATATAGCCAGTGATGGGTATGCATCCTATTGACTGTGTCTCATGTGTTGTCTCTTGCAGCTTTCAAAGAATGGAGTTAAAATCTCTTCTAATCTAAATTATACATTGGGTTGTCCTGTTGGGAGAGTTTTGTTTGTGCAACCTATTCAGGGTGGATCATTGACTACGCATATACAAAGCAATGGAAAGCTTCACAGCTCTTCTGTGGACCATTCTTCAGTATATTACTGCAAAGCACTATCATTAAGACTGCTACCCTTCAAAAATGCTTCAGCAAAGAGTATGGATGCATCTTCCCCATCTAGAAATTCTATAGGCAAAACCATGAAACAGTATGAAAATGGCAACCCTTCTTCCCCTCGGACACCCTCACTTGAGCACTCAAGGCCGTGCTCTCCAAGTCCTAGCAAGAGTTCACTGACATCTGAAGATTTAATCTCTCATTTAAATGGCATAAAGGTATCGTATTTTGACGCGATTGAGATGCAAGAAATCCTAGAAGATAAAGACGCAAACAAACTTCTGCAGCGTACTGCTGTTTCATGGTTATGTTCTCGTGCTTTACTTTGTGGAAATCTCGTCACAGTCCCAGTGCTCTCTAGACTTTGCCTTTTCGAAGTGGTGGGTTTAAAAAGTTTGTCATCTGATAGTACTTCCAGAAATCCTAACCAAACTCCTCTACTTCATTGTGATAAAGAGGCATTCATCATAGATCATGCAACAAAAATAAAAATTGGTTCACAGTCAACAGTATCATCAGAGACTCCAGAGAAAGTAACTTCAAGTCCTGGTAAAATGGAATCTAAGGAAGTCAGTGTAAAAATGGGAGTTGGAAGTACAATGTTGGGCGGACTATGGAAGGAATACACGCTTCTGCGAGAAATCATCTCTTCATCAGTGAAGAATTCCTTGTCAAGGTTTGTTATTAATTGCCAGTCTAAATATTTTTTTTCCAGTTTACTTGTAATTTTCTATAACTAAGCTCATATGGAGACACTTACAGCTTCTGATGGTGGCATTTGTTCTTATTAGCTTTCAGCACCATTCACTATCATGTAGCAAAGTGCATCGTGAGTGCACTTGATCCCCAATAGTATCACTATAGCTAATGTATGCGAAATATGCTATCATTTTTTGCAAAAAGCTAAAGAAATTGTGGAATATATGAAGAAAAAAAAATGACAATTTATTGAACCTGGCAAATTATATTGAGTCTGTGGCTTTGACTCTAGATTTCAGACTGTTGAACATCTGAAAAAGTAGCTGTACTAGTGTCTGTTGTACCTTTAGCTTACTGGATCGATTACCATCATGGTGACTTTGTTTTTATCATGACGAATAAAATGTTTGATATTGTTAGTAGATGCTTGCTTATGTACTCATATTTGTCTATCCTACAGGAGCTTCATTATGATTCCCTTTTCAATTGTTGATATTGTATCTTGATTAGTATTTAACTATTTTAGTCTGGGGTTACGAACAACAAAAGGAGTGCTGCTACATGGGCCACCTGGAACTGGGAAGACGTCCTTGGCTCAACTATGTGCTCATGATGCTGGAGTTAGCTTCTTTAAAGTGAATGGACCTGAAATTGTCAGCCAATATCACGGGGAAAGTGAACAGGGACTCCATGATGTCTTCAAGTCAGCTAGTGAAGCTGCCCCCTCTGTGGTTAGATCTGCTTCCCAACTTTTTGGTTCCTAGATATTGTGATATGTAGACTTCAAAGGTTTAGATGATGTTAATGCTTGTCATTTGCCTGATATGTTTTGGATATTGCTGATTAGGAAACTCGTTGTATAGGTTTTTATTGATGAGCTGGATGCTATTGCGCCAGCCAGAAAAGAAGGTGGTGAAGAGCTATCGCAAAGGATGGTTGCAACTTTGCTGAATTTGATGGATGGGATAAGCATAACAAATGGTCTTCTTGTAGTTGCTGCTACCAATAGGCTCGAGTGTATTGAGCCTGCACTTAGACGGCCTGGAAGACTAGATAGAGAAATTGAAGTAGGTAAATTATCTTCCAAAAGGGTATCGTATATCCTTGTGCTGCCACATCACAAACTCCACATGATATGATGTGAGCTGTGTTGCCAATGCTTTTCATATGATGTTCTATACATGTACAAGATAATGATATACTTCGCACTATATTATGTGATGCATGAACAGCATAGGCCTCATCCTAGGAGTAGATAATTTACTAATGTATATATTTACACAGGTGTACCATCTCCTGATCAACGACTTGATATATTGACTACTCTTCTTGATAGAATGGAACATTCTCTTTCATCTACTCAAATCCAGCAGCTTGCTGTGGCTACACACGGTTTTGTCGGAGCAGATCTGGATTCCCTTTCAAATGAGGCAGCTATGGTCTGCTTAAGGCGTTGTATTCAGTCAAATAACTCTATAGATGATTTATATTCTAAAAGATCTACTCATGATGGTTCTGGTGTGATGTCGGGAGATTGTTATGCAAGAGATGCCAGGGAAATATATGTAGATGATCTTGAGGCTTCTTCATGTTCAAAAGATTTGGAATTGACTGAGTCTATTACTTCTGTGCCATTTCCTAGTTCTGAGGAAACAGTGGTTACACATAACAGAGAGGAAGTGATTTTAGATAGTTATGGGTGTTCTTCCTCAACAGAATATATGTTGAAGATAACCTTCGAAGATTTTGAGAGGGCCAGAATGAAAATACGTCCAAGTGCTATGCGTGAGGTATGCTGGATGTCTTTTCCCATCACTTAAGCTCATAGAAAAATAGATTTTACTAGTATGCCAATGCCTTATTTCAACAGAATCTCAGAATGCTTATGTAGTAAATAAAATTGTGAAGGATTTGTTTGCTGATTATTTGAGACCAAACTTGATGATTTTAAAGACAGTAGTTTGAGAGAGTTTTGTATCTTTTTTAAGAAATGACTATCAAATCCCTATGTATAGTATTTGAAACAGAGCTCATTCTGTTACTAATTACGGAGTATAATGTCTGTGTATTTTGAAGCTTATGAGCAATTTCTTGAGTTTACTTCTGTTTTGATCTTGTATTGCCATACTGCCCGTCTTAATGTTCTATACTTGTTGCACATCTAGCAATAGGAAATTGTCTTAATCATTAGATGCACTTGAATCACAGATATATTGAAATGACTAATTGCTGAACAGTATTGACTTACAACTACATTGATGCTCTCTTTATCCAACTTCCTCACATTGCTGTTATGCATTGGGTATAGAGGAGAAG